ACTGCTGGTCTTCTGACCTTGCAGCACAGAGGCTTCTGCGGTTTAACCCACAGCATCATCAGGTCCCTACAAGCCTCCAGGTACCTGGGATCAAATCCCTGCCCGTGCTTGGCCACAGAAATTCACTGGGGGGTGTTTGGCAATGTGAAATCACTCCCTGAACATCTCATTTGCCTTGAAAATCCCTGTTAGGGCCTCCGTGATTTGGAAGCAAACTGATGACACATAATAACTAATACCCACTTTGGTCCACCCTTATAACATACCACCCACTTCTGTTGTTGTTTTCTACCTGCAGTGACTAAGGGATTCAAACAGAAGGAGTTCTGGCTCACATGCACGCTGTACGAATGAGCAAGAACTCCAGTTTTTCATGATGCGTGTCCATTACTTATATATAAAGTCGACACACAAGCAGAATCTTTGCTAACATGTTCATCATTCCATGTAGAAAATTATGTGGGAGGGAATGGTTTCCACCTGTCACTATAAAGGCAAAAGTGGTTATGCTGACGCCTGAACAGATAGTCTGTACGGGTGTTTTGTTGAAGAGGGGAGATACACCTGAAACATGGACAGCTAAATTAAATGGGGTGTGTCATTGAAGGGACTCTGGAATGACAGCTGGAAGAGGACAGAGGAAGGTTAGTAGAGTAAGAAGGGGTTTAGAAGACTGGAACCCAAGCCCTATAAGGAAATACTAAAAGAACTGGGGATCTTTAGCCTCGAGGAAAGAAAACTGAGGGGAAACACAACAGCACTTTTCAAATAGTTGAATGATAGTCATATAGAGGAGGGGCAGGATCTGTTCTCCATCATCCCAAAGTGCAGGACATGTAATAATGGGCTCAAGTTACAGGAAGCCAGATTTCAGTTGATTATCAGCAAAAGCTTCTTAACTGTTTGTTAAAGCAGTATGACAATGGAACCAGTTACCTTGGGAGGTGGTGAGCCGTCCAACACTGGAGACATTCAAGAAAAAAATCAGACAGAAGCTTCTTAACGGTTAAAGCAGTATGACAATGGAAACAGTTGCCTTGGGAGGTGGTGAGCAGTCCAACACGAGACATTCAAGAAAAAAATCAGACAGCCATCTGTCCAATCTACTTTGATTTGGATTCCTGCACTGAGCAGGGGGTTGGACTTGATGGTCTTATAGACACCTTCCAATTCAATTAATCTATGATGCAGTGATTACTTGTTTGAATTCCAGTCACCCCAGACTTCATTTTTGTGTGAAATCATTTTCATGTTCCCTCAAATAAACTATCTTTCATAACCAGGTGACAAACTCAGTTAAATCCTCGGTCTAACCCTCAGTGAAAGGCTTTTTCAAAATCATCCCAATCCTATACCTAACCAGTTCTGTTAGCACACTAAGATTGTGACACTGGACCAAATGGATATTTACTCTGATTCAGGACAGGAGCTGTTCTCCTCGGGAGTCATGTTTTCAAACACTGCCAACGTATAGGTGGGAATGAATCCCTTCTCAGTTTATGATTGACCCATGGATGGGTCAAGGGATCTCTGGAAGACTGTGGAACTGTAATAAAGTATAAGCAGCCTATTTGCTAACAAATATCCATCACTCCTATAAATTTAATATTTCACCCAAACCCAGAATTTACCTTTCTGTATTGGAAGTCCCGATACCAGAGTTTCTGAGAAAGGAAAAAAAAATGGAAATAAAACACCATACCATTGTACCAAAAATGGATAATGTGGGGACAAATTATTTATTTATTTATTTATTTATTTATTTGTTTACTTGTTTACTTATTTATTTATTTATTCATTCATTCATTCATTCATTCATTCATTCATTCATTCATTCATTCAATTAATTTGTATACCTCTCACATTAGTGCCAAGGTGTTACTCTATGCTATTACAACATGTATAACAGAGAACAAAAATAAATATAAAAAACATTAAAGGCAACAACAATAACCCCCCCCCCTTAATGACAGCTGACAGGGAAGGTTCTCACAAATCACTTTGAGGCTAAAAGCCCTGCACATGATTAGATCTTTCTTTCTATTCTCTTCATTACCTTCATATTGTTCTGCAATGTTCTCCAAAAAGAGATTTATATCAACGATATCACAGACTCTCCACCTCAGCTCAAGAGGAAAACTATCTGAGTCCTCAGCGGCCTTGTCACACCTGGTGAAAAGAAACAAAGCAGTTCATGCACCCGGCCAGCAGAGTGAAGAAGATAAAATAAGAAAACAGCAGAAACGTAGAGGTGGAGATAAAGGTGGTTTGGGGAAGAAATCTGAACTCATTCCAGTTTCTAGGGGATAAGCGATACGTAACTGGTCGACTGTCATTAGAAGCCGAAATCTATTCGCCTTTCACAAATGTGATTCAGGAAGCTCTTTGTGACTGAGTCGTCTTGCAAAAGAAGCTTCTGCTTATATCTTTCATGGAATCAAGTCACAGAAAAGAGCAAGCTGATTGGCAAACAATGGTAGGTGCGAAAAGTTCCTGCTGCGACAAGTCAGTGCTTTCAGCACTTAAAACAATTTCGTTTTCTAATGATGTGCTATCTGTAATGTATGTTTGGTCCAAAGACTTCAATGCCAAGCTTCAGAGGGACAAACTAGCAGCAGCTACCTACCCGCTGGCCTCTCTCTAGTCACATCTCGTGAAAGAAAAAAGGTATACAATATCTTAGTTTCAATTTCTTTTGTTTGGGTTCCATTTCATCTGTGGCCACATGTAGTCCCAAGAGAAACGCTTGAAAGCAATGACATCAAATCACACATTTTTCCCCTCTCAATCCCCAAACTGCTCCCAGTGTTCTAGACCAGTGGTTCCCAAACTGGGGTCCCCAGATGTTCTCGGACTAAAACTTTGCACCACCATCTCTGCTGGCCAGGATTTCTGGGAGTTGCAGTCCCAGAACATCTGGAGGCCCAAGGGTTGGGAATCCACTGCTGTAGTTCCATGCTTCCCCTGCTGGCGAAAAAATGGGAGACCCAAGATGAATACTCGCTCCGTGCCGTGAAGCTTCCATTGGGTCATTCCTGATACAATCGGGAGAATATATTGGACTTACCTTTGTCGAATGGGGAATGGTTCTTTAAGCTGGGAAATCATGGGTGTTACTGGCACCAGAAGAGCTGGTTAAAGATCACTAGCCCTGTTGCCTAGCTCTGTCCTTACTTAGGAGTAACCGTTGACTGCTCTTAGCAGCTGGATTGGTTTTACGGCTTCTGAATGAGCTGAGAAATCATATTCTTCCTGTGCTTCCTGACCGTGGGTCCCCCACGTGTTCTTGGACTACAACTCCCAGGAATCTTGAACAGCCCAGCTAGAGTTGAAGGCATTTGGGAGTTTTAGTCCATCTGGGGAGCCATAGTTGGGAAGCACTGGTCTAGAACAGTCTTTTGCAAACTTGTGTCCTTCCAGTACCTTGGATTATGACTCCTATCATCCTTTTTCCAGCCATTCCCAGTGGTGGGACCTATCTGTGCTGGATAAGAATGATGGGAGTTGTAGTCTAGCACTTTGGGGGGTAGGCTGGGAAAAGCTGCTTGCTCTTCATTGTCATGAGATAGGAAAGGGAAGGTGTGGGATCCACTTACTTCTCTAAGTTGGTTTTGTAATCCTGGAAGGAAAAGAGAGAGAGAGAGAAAAGAATGAACTCAAGATCCAGCCACACATTTGCAGCGTGGTGATTTATTCTGGACCTCTGGGGTCCAGCTGGGGTTGCACCCCACTCCGTTCCACAGGTTAGAAGGGGTGTATTTCCCACCACATGGTCTCACTGGGGAAAGGTCTGCACAAGATTATTTCAGAACAATCCAGACATCTGTACAAATGAAAGGGTAAAACCAAATACACAACCAAAGTGGATCTGATTTTTTTAAAAAAAATTAAAAATAGATTTTTTTAAAATTTAATTCATGCTTTAAATAATTATGACTTTTTAAAAATAATTGTTTAAAAAAATCTAGCCTGCACATTACTGATTATATTTTCAAGGTATAGGCAGTGAAATGCCCTTAACTCCAGCCTT